TATGTGTAACATAATCAATAATGTTTTTTTTTTCTGACAAATTCTCTTGAAAAGATAGATTAGTCAGGATAATCTACCCGTTCTATATAACATATAATTACATTAATCTTCACTAATTAAAATTTAAAGAAAATTCTTTGAAAATAAGCAAACACGATTAACTAATTAAATTTGGTCATTTTCAGGAACAAAGTACATATAGAATAGAATAGAGAAGATGACCCCAAAGCTCCGTTGTCTTGATTTTAATGCACTTTGTGAAATAGTTTACTCTGCCATTACCGCCAAAAGAGGTAGAATTAATTTGCCATTAAGGAATGACAAATTGTTACAGTCTGGCAAAACTCAAGACATAAATTTTTACTGAGAATTATCTTTAATTTAACAGATATACTAACAGTTTAAGTATATCTTTAACTATTTAAGCACTCAGCGTGGATCATATTAGATCCGGTTTGCCAGCTTTTTCATGAATAGCACATAAGACCATTTTACACCGTATTTTAAAGTTTCAAAACTTTATATATATATGTATATAAATATATATGTATGTATATATATAAGATATATACATATATATGTTATATGTCTATATATAGGTGTAAATAGATATATACAGATATTAAGTCCAAATTTTGACTTTTTTGATTTAAGATTTAAGTCAATATTTAATTTATTTAAAGTCAATGTAATATATTAGAGAAATGGTTCTACAATCAAATAAGAAAATACGACTCCTTTAATATATGGATCAGTAGTATTTTTAAGGTTTTACACTGGAATAACAAACGAAATTTTAGTAAATCGTTTATTTTCATGAAGTATAATAAACAGGTTATGTGGGTTATCAATGGAGACAATAAAAAAATAGTTTAAAATTGGATTGGATTGAAAATTCTGGTTGATTGAATCTTCTTGAATTTATCTAAACTTGAGTTTCTGTCTTAATTTTATGCAATGCTATAGCTATGTTTCCCATATTTTCAAATTCATGTTAAAGATTTGTCAAAGAATTATGTTACAAATCCATATTAAAGCTTTTTATTCCGAACTCCCATGTGATGGTGCTTCTTTGATTGTTTTTCATAGTCGTTACTAATACTCATATTGATACAAGCACATATGGTACACTGATACTGATGTTGTTACTGATGCTAATGCTAAAACTGACACTGATACTGATACCGATACCAATACTATATTTAATACTGATACAGCTGCTGATGCTGACACTGACACTTAGAATGGTATTGATACTGATACTGATGTTGAAACTAACACTGATATTGGTACTAATACTGATACCGATACTATAACTTTTATTGAAACTGATACCGATACTATTACTGATACTGATACCGATACTATAACTGATACTGTTACTGATACCGATACTAATACTATATCTAATACTGATACAGACGCTGATGCTGACAGTGATGCTGACACTGATACTTGTATCGATATTCATACTGACACTGATATTGGTACTGATACTAATACAGTTATTATAACTGATACTGAGGCTATTACTGATACTGATACCGATACTGATACTGATACTATATCTAGTACTAATACTAGTGCTGATGCTAACGCTGGTACTGATATTGATACTGATACTGGTACCGATACTTTAAATGATACCGATACTAATGCTGATAATGATATCGATACTACGTTAATGATGTACTCTTATAACCAGAACTGCGTTCGTTTTATTTAGTATTGAGCCTAATGAAAATATGTATAAGTAATCTTCTATAAAAAAGCACCTTATCCCGCTAATACACTGTTATTTAATTAACTACAGATTTTTGAAACAAATTAAATTGAATAAAGTTTTTTAAAATAAAGTTTTTTTTAATAAGTATGAAGAACACAGTTTTAAAATAAAATATTAAATTGAATTTCTCATCAAAGACTTATAAGTGTATGCAACTAATTGAAAGGGGATATTTAAGAGGATTGAATATAAACTTAATTTCTAACGGAATTGAATATACTAAAGAACTCTTACATAACTCATATATCACTTTAGATCGGATAAATAGAAAAAGTAATATGGAGCAAAACAAAAAAAAAAAAGGAAAAAGTTAAGAATCCATTCCTTACGGACTTAATTTTATCATTTGTTATATCAGTTGCAAGTGCATCTGTGCTTTAGTATTCTTTAAATACACACTTCAGCAAACTTAAGAGGACTTGAATTGTTTTGTGCTGTGCAACGAGATACGGATGCTCCCATTCGAAGCAAAAGAAATGCGCTTAATACTCGAATGATTCCGAACCACTCAATGAACATATGTATAAGTGCATAGAAATTGGGTCGCAATAAGATAGAAAAATATCTTATTTGCAAAAAGAAGCGAAATAGTTTATTTCGCTGTACAGCATAAATACTCATATACCATTTACGGCATTTAATGGCACAACTAACCGTAAACCGTAAACCGTAACCGTAAACTGAGAGTTGTGAGCTGTAAACATGTACGACGAACGACTTCCTTCTTAATGTTGCCCTAGGGCAGAACATTAAAATTTTATCACAACCAAAAATATTTGCAATTGGCGACAATTTTTAGCTACAAGAAAGCTCACTTCAGGCCAAGATATTTTATATCATTTTGGCGTTTTTATTTTCCTTTTTGTTTATATTTTTTAATGTTGTAAGAAATTGTGTACAAAAAATTGTTGCAAAAGGAGCAAAACTTTAAAGATCGATTACTTGGCCAAATAAAAAGCAGCAACATGTAAAAATTGTCACTTAAACTGTTGCTCGCCCGTTGCATGCAACGGAGCGGCAGAACATGCATAAATTATATTTCCAGTTTAGGCGTTGCAGTTCGAGCAGAAATTTTCCAACACAAAAAATTGCATTAAACTATGAAGAAAAATTTAATTTATTTTATAAACTATAAAAACTTTGGCAGGAAAATGGGAAAATAAAACAAAGGAAAATATGCATGGCATCGAAGGAAAATTGTAGTTTATCGACATGCAATCTTTGTTGTGACTTCTCTTTGTGTGTTTGTTTGCTGACCGAAGTTTTATCGTTGCAACAATTGCTCATATGTTCAACAACAGTATTTACTGTAAGGAAAGTCGAAAGTTAGAAAAAAGTTTAGATGACATTTTTATATTTAATAGCAGTTTAAATATCTTCAGTTAACATAAAGATAAACTTCATGTTAGGAAGGTGATTGCATATTTTGTTTTGATGTTTGATATTGACATGGGTTAAATACTTTTAATTGCAATTTTTTATAAAGATAAAACTCAAATAAAACGCAGAACGTAAACCGTAATAGGAAGCTAAAATATTTATATTACAATTGGACTTCTATTATATATTTAACTATTATATAGCAAAATATCTAGCAGTTCTACTAGATATCTAAACAATATAAAATGGAAACTGGATATGTATTTTTCTACAATTAGATAAAAAACATCTAGCAGTTATATTAGATATCTAGATATAATATCTAATACAAACTGGAGAGAACTATATATATTTCAAAAGAGCAAAAACATAATTAATAGAAACCTAAGTAAAACTCGAAAAATAATCAGGTAAATCCATCTGAAAATAGTCTGGATGATTCTTCTCTCTCTATTGTGATCTGCTAGTAAGCTGTTACGTAGGTCACTATTTCTATTTTGAGTCTAATAATAAAAAAATACTAACCTGTAGTTAAAAATTGCTTTATTGTTTCTCGAAGTATTCCCCTTTATGACTAATACATGTTTCATGTGAAAACATCAGATGACATCTGACAATAATCAGTATTGTCAAGGCAAAAAATAAAAATAGTGACCCAAGTAATAACGCAACCATTGAAAAAATCTCACTAACGTTCAAACAGTAATCTGCAGCCGAGGTCCTATATAATACTGGATTTTTCGTACTGGAAATCTTAGTGAAAAACTTAGCTATAAAGGTCGCAATAAGGTTTAATTAAATAGGACAATGAATTGATGTAGTAAATATATATATTTAATCCTTACTCCTAGGAGGAGTATAGGGCCATGTAGTAAATAGCCAAGCATCAATTTTTAATAAAGCAAAAATCAGAAATTTTGACTATTTAATGACAATTCTATACGACAGAATAAAGAAGACCAAAAATTCCTGGCGAAAAAACTGAAGAAGCGAATTGAAAACCAGAACTAAAGAAAAAAAATACAATCGACTACATAAGTCCGGTAATTATATTTCACATAACATAAAATACCATAACACACAATAGGAAGGAAACAAAAAAGAATCGATTCTGTATGAATATATTTATAAAATGTTCTGGGACTGAAATTCAAGGAATAACATTTGAATATATAGGTTAGGTAAGGTTATGCTGGCAGGCCAAAAGAGCCATGCGTAGACCCTTAAGGTTCATAATATTTTAAAAAGAAGTCATTCAGAATATATTCATATTTCAGAAAATAAAGTCACGTTACTAGCTCTATGTCGGGCTCCATTGAGTCTGACATTCAGGTCTTTTGAAATTTTTCTCAACTACATTCCAATTTTACTAACACTTAGT